AAAGCAACACCCGTTTTATTTCAGTCAACAACAACAGACTTTATTTATGCCACAGGATTCCTTAAATAACTTAGATGTGCACAAAGAAACTACCTAGAGATGTCAATTAAACGGTCCGAGACATTCAGTACGATACCAGGGCGCATTTCTCATCGCGAGTATCATACGTAAGCTTTGGTGTACAGTTTTAGGACATACCGGCAAGTTTAACACAGCATCACAAAGACTCGTGGCCTCGCGCATCCCTCGTGCCGCCACGCGCCTCTGCCCCGCTCCGGCGCAGGCAGGAGCGTCACTTATGGGATTAAACGGTGAAAACAGGGCTCCAGAGGCGAATGGCGAGTGACGGGGAAGGCTCCCGGAGGCTTTCGGGGCGCTTAAGCCACCTAAAGCACAAGGTCTACGGCACTAAACCGATCAGCAGCGAAGCAACCGCACCGCCGCAGCAGCTCTGGCAGCAGGCTGGGGCAGGCGAAGGCGCGAGGCCCGGCACGGACCGGACACAACACTAACGGGAACCTGGACGTTTGGCTGGCAAAGGCTGCGAGAGCGCGGGGCAGGATCACTGCTGGACAGCCTGCTGCATCTGCGCCTGCCGCTTGGCTTTCGTCTGGAGGTACCTGCCCTTCCCTTCCTCAAAGCGCCGCTTCTCATCCTCTGTCTCCGTCTGCCGGCGACAGAAAGAAAGCGAAGCCACCAGTGTTAGCTGCCTCAGAGCAGCGCAGCTCTCCCACGCTGCACCTTGCAAGCATGTGCAGGAGGGAAACGCGCCTGCCCTTACAGGAAAACCTGTGCTCCATGAAATATGTGTTTTGACAGCTAATGTACTCCTGCACAGAGCAGGAGGAGACCTGCATGGGTTAAAATATTAATCAAGAAACAGCCCCCAGTCAGCAGCGCCACATCAGCAAAACCCTGCCGGGATCAGGAGAGCTAAAGATAGGCAGGAGGCCTGGAGTGGGGATGCCACGGGGAGCAGGGACAGGGGATGTGGGGGCCTCCGTCGCCGTCTCCAGCGCAGGCAGGAGGGGAAGCGGCAGAGCCTGCACGCAGCCTGCCCTCATCTGCGAGAAAGGAAAAAATCCCCAATCTCCACATCGACAATTTTCAGAAGAAATTTAAAAAAAAAAAAACCCTGAAGCCTGCTCTGGAAAGGCTCGTTCATGCTCTTATTTTTCTGCTGAATAATTCAAGGCAAGAGGATTTGTTGCACATAAAAGCTGGCTGGGGTCTGCTCTGGGAGGAGCAGGACAGGGGGTGGCCCAGCTGGCTCATGGCCCAGCGGGGAGAGCTCTTACCAGCAGCTGTGGGACAGGCAGGGGCTTCCCCTCCTTGCTCAGGGAGACATAGGTGAAGAAGGCGCTGACAGCACGGTACCGCTCCCGAGGCTCATCCACGAATGGGTCGGCATCCACAAAGACTTCGATTTCCATGGATTTATTGCTCGTGAAGGTCATGCGCCCTGAAATGGTGATGACGCTGCCTGCAAAGCGGAGAGGGGCTGGTTAAGCAGGTGGCCCCTGCTTCTGCTCAGAGGAAAGGACCAAAGGGTCCTGCGTGTTTTATGCTTAAGCCATGTCTTAAGTGGAGCTTCTCAGCACAGGACAAGTCTAACGGGCATTAAATTTCTCTGCCAGTGTATCCCAAGCGCACACCCAAGGGAGCCAGGACACCAACCCCGGTACCTTTTTTGATCTTCTCGTGGAAGTTGATAGCATCCACTGAGGCGGTGACGATGTTGGTCTTGCAGTGGCGGGCGGCCACAATCCCGGCGACCTCGTCCATGAGCTTCATGGTGACACCTGGGGGGCAGAGGCAGAGGGTCCCACCTCAGGGAAGCCAGTGGGATTTGGGAAGAACGACGCGTAGGTTGGTAAGGTCTTTGCACGACCAAAGCTACGCCAAGGAGTCAGACCGGAGACTGAATCCCAACTGCAGGAAACCCCCAGTACCAGCACAAAATCTCCTGTCAAGTGTACCATCACAGCAACATCCTTGCAGACCTGGGCTTAAGATTTAGGCCAGCTCTGGCTCTCCTGAATTTCTTTGAGCCTTGCAAGGCAAGATCAGTCCCAGAAACCTCCTGCTCGGAATGAGCTCTGAGCCACGTTGGTTTTGTTTTTTTCTTTTTTTAAGGACAAAATTAGATGAAGAGCAGCATCCAGCGTCGTCCCAGCCCTCGGTGAACGCACCTCTCCCCGGGCTCACACCACACGTGTCTGCCCTGCCTTGCCCTGCCTGACCGGCAGGCGACAGGCACTGCCAGCCAAGAGGAAATTACTCCAGCAAATTGCAGTCATTCTACGCTGGGGTTTACAATCTGAGATTTGCAGTTTAAGAGACGATGACAAAATTGTAGGATTTACAGTTCGAGTATGTCAGTTTTCATGGCCTTTTTTAAGCATAGAAAAAGACAAAGCTTTTGTCTCAGCTGAAGCATCGCTGAACCTTACAGATGGTGGAAATGGGCCTGTGCGCCTTCAGAGGCAGAGCCCACCTCCCAAAAACACTGAGACGCACGAGTCGCTCTCAAACCGGGGGAAAAGCCAACCCAGCCGTTGAACAGGGCAGCGCTCACTCACCTCCATGCACAAAGCCCAGCAGCGTGCAGTCCGACGGTCCCACCAGGTGGATCAGGCTGGACTGGCTGTAGCCAACAGTGTGTGGCTCTGGTTAGAGAAAGAGAGCAAAGCGGAGGTCAGAGCTGCTAGGCCAGCACCCGTATGTCGCCGTACGCCCTTGTCTTAAGCCATCTGAAGGAAGATGACGTGGGGCTGGCTTGTGCAAAGCTGAAGTATGTTCAAATCAGCATTTAAATCGGCCCCGAGAAGTCCTGAGAACAGAGGCCATTCACCACCTCTGCCTCCTCCCTCTAATACCCACCTATCAATTTTATGCCAGCTCAGCTTGTTTCTTCTTTGAAAGCTTTCAAAGAGCCCGAAAGCAAATGGGAGTGAACTGGACAGATGCATTGCTATATACTTTCCCTCCTCAGGCCATCAGCCGCAGCTGAATCTCCCCAAACCTGCTGCTTAGCAGCATCTCCAAAGGACCACGCTTTCCCCTTGGCGTGAAGACCTCAGCCCCATGTCCCCCAGCCCTGGCACATGCTGGTGACATCTAAGTTGCCACTAAATCCAGGTGACAGAAGTTGCACCATCCAACTGCCAGCAGAGAAAAACCACTCTCAGGGATGGCTGTGTTTTCTGTCTAATGAGAGACGCTAAAGGCGCTTAGCGCAGGAAAAACCAGCTGAGCCCCCGACCACTCAGCATCACCTCCTCAGGGAGGACACCCATGCAGCAGCGCCCGCGGAGCCTTACCTTTTGTCTGCCTATCTGTGAGCAGAAAGAACAGAGGGGAAAAAGGCATTTGAGCAACTTTCATCCCACATCACCCCCCCGCGCGCTCCCTCTCCGCCTCCGCCTGAGGACCATGGCTGGTCCTGGAGGCCACTGGCAGCTCGCGCCTTGGGTTCACTGTCAGCGCCGCCGCCATGTTTCCAGAAGCCGGGGCAACGCTTTCAGTAGGAAAGAGATCCCCAGCAATCCCCCAGGGAGAACGTGACCCCCAGCTCCTCCCCATAGCTCACACTCCCCTTCATACACCAGCCAATGAACTTCTTGCTAAAAACTGACTTCCAGAGAGGGGCTGCAGCTGCAGAGTGTGCAAAACCCTCGCCCAACGCTTGCGTTTACCCTATGCTGAGCAAAACTAGCTCCCGCTGCCCAGGAGCACACGAGGGATGCAAGGAGTGCTGGCAGGAACTGTATTTCAGAAGAGGGCATCCCACCCTCCAGCCCCAGCAGGACATCACAGGTGCCCCCCGGCTCCCCCTCAGCTCTCACACCAAAATCCCATCCCCATCCCTGATGCAGTGTTTCAGAGCGTGTGCTTGCAGCCACAGGTGCCTGGGGACAGCTGGAATTGCCTTGGGGACCAGCTCAGCCTCCCAGTGCTGCCAGGACGTTTCCACAGGCCGCACACCGCCCGCGTTACCTGGGTTGATGACAGGGAAGATCACGTCGCCATTTCTCTGCTTAGTTTCCAGCCGATCCAGCTTTTGCTCTTCGTAACGCTTCTTCCCTTCGTCCTCCTGCTCCTTTCTCGCGTACTGGAAGGAAAGGCCAGTAAGAACAGGGTCAGCAAAGCCACTGGCACAGCCAGGGGTGCCGACAGGGCCAGGTTAGCACCGTTCCGCTGGAGAGGGCGAGCTCCAGTTTTCGGGGAGCAAAGTGAGCCATCCTACCTGGATGGGGGGAACCTCAAGGACCTTGTTGACGTTCTTCAGGGACAGCGGCACGTACCATAGCGTTGCCTTGTTCGTCACCTTCTTCGCCCCTGGAGGAGAGGGGGGCAGAGGGTGACTGCACCGATGCCAGCAGCGCTTCGCCTGCCACCGGGTTGGCCGCACACTGGTAATGCTGCTGGCACTGGGCAGCCCCCTGCCCTGCTGGCTCCTGCCGGGCTTTGGCTTGGAGCGGATGTGACAATGCACTTTTGGGAAGGCGTCCCGGCAAGCGGAGCCGGTTGCCACAGCAACAGCAGGAAAGGGGCCTTTTTCAGGCCAAAGGCAGCAAATTAGAAAGGGGGAGCTAACAGCGGATTTTTCCGTTCTTCACTAAAAATGATCAATGGAGCCGTAATCCCCAGGGAGCCTGCTTGGCTTCCCTTCCCAGCACCGACCCTCCCCACCGCTCCCAGCATTCTCAATAAAAAGGCAAGATCTCCCCGATGCCGCTGGTGATGGTGGGCGGAGGATGGGGTCAATGCCGTGAGCTCTCAGCTTATCGTGCTTATTCCTGGAGTTTTGGGACAGAGCTGCCAGCAGCCACCCACCTGTTAAAATGTTTTCGGACATGACGTTGACCTGGACCTCCACGGAGTGCCGGGAGGTGTAGGTGATCTCGGCACTGACGTTGGCCACCTCACCGATGCACACCGGGGAGAGGAAATCCGTCCGCTCCACCCGCGCCAGCGCGGCCACGCAGGGCTCCTGGGGACGGCGAGACAGCAAAGGTAGCGGCACCAGCCACACTGCACCGCCGCCTCCCCGGGGCCAGGCCATGCCGCGCATGGCTCCGACACTTCAACCTCTGCCTTATCAGCCAGTGGCTGTGCTTCCTTCCCCACCCATAACTGATGCCGGGCCCGCCTCTGACTCACCCTTCACAGCAGTTAAAACATTAACAGCAGCATATTAATGTTTCTGCTTGTAAAACACGACTTCAGTGAGATGCTTCCAGCTACCAGGGCCATACTCTGGCAGCAGCCGGAGCCAGCAGTGGTTTGCACGCAGGAGCAAGCGCTTCCGGTGCGGGGGAACGAGCAGGGAGGCCCCCAGGGATGCCCGGCGTTCCCGGGGGACCCCCTGTTCCCAGCAGACCCCCAAGACACAGCAGAGGGGGTCACTGAGAGTCACTGAGCCAGAGCCCCTACTCCCCCCGGCCTGGGAGTTGCAGTGGCGGGTGCTGATGATGGCTCCCGCCTCCTCGATCATCTTCAGGATGGTTCCCCCGTGGACATTCCCCGCGACATTGGCGTCATCCGGGCGCATGATCCTGCCGGGGAAGGGATACAGGAGCTCACACCCCCCTGCTGTGCCCCCAGCCCAGGTCCCGGTGCAGCTGCCCGGAGGCACTGCTGTCACCCTACCGGATGAGCTGCCGGGCCATCTCACCAC